AGAAAGAAATTACAAAATTTTGAAATAACTGAAGAAATTATACAGGTGCAAATAGGTAATATAAATGTTCATTTAAATGATTGTAACACTAGAAATATTACGAAAAAGATTGTAGAATTTTATTTTATACCACCAAGATCTGAACTGTATTTCACCATGACATTGAATGCACAAACAGATTGCTGGTTAGCATTATATTCACTACCATTTATAACAACAATTGACACAAAATTGAGAACTTTTCAGTTTAAGATTTTACATATACTGCCAACAAATGTATTATTGACGAAAATCAAACCATGTCTTGTTGAATCTTCAAAGTGTTCCTTTTGCGGAGAACAGTATGAAACTTTGTTAAATCTATTTAACAATTGTATTTTTATTAGGGAATTTTGGGATAGTTTTTACATGCTGTGGGGAAAGAAAATGGGATTGGTAAATACACTTAATCCCATACAGGTTATCCTTGGAGATGAAGATTTTTCCATTCTCTTAAATTTTACATTATTGGCAGCCAGATATATACAGTGCAAGGTGTAAAAAACAGAAGCCGGATTTAATGGCTTATAGAAAATACATGCAAAATGTTCAAAGAATAGTACATTTGTAGAGACAAGTTCTTTATACGATTAAAATATTTTATCATTGGTTTTTCGATAAGTCTCCAATGGGTAAAGTCTAAATTCACCTTATCAACCCATTGTTGGGGTGTTTTTGGTTGTCCCCATAAGAAAACAAAGATAATTTATATGTACATCTTCAATTGGTGATTTTAGTGTAATTTCATTTCCCCATAAGATCACTGTGAGAATTGGTCTGACCCCCCCCCCCCCAATGAAATGTTTACTGCTACAAAAGTTACTTTGATATGCTGTGAAAAGTCTACTGCTACAAATTCCAGAGAAAAAAAACACAAAATTGAAGCAGTTGGTATTGAAAATAATTATTTAAATTTACTTTTTTTTTCACAAGAAATTAAAACATAAAAATGCAGGAGTAAAAATATCTAATAAAATACTGATTTTCTTCTTATCTCTTAACCATGTCATTGTGTTTGCACATATTTGAGAAGAAACATTACATATAATAATTAAAGATATTAAAGAGTAATAGCAAAATATATCAAGTGATGTAATCCGCCATAACTGAAAAGACTCGCACTGTTTATATTTAATATTACACTGTCAAATTATATTCTAAGATGTTCTGTTCAAAATTTCATTAGAATTTTATATTTTTTGACTTTAATATACAATATTAGAGTCATTGTTTGTTAAGATACATTTCAATGGTTCACTTCCACACCAATGATAGCAGATAAACAGTACAGGATTATAAAAATTGAAATGGTGCTAAAGTCTGTAATCGCTCCAGATTAATATTGTGGTATGTCATTATACAGGCAATTGTATCCTTGCACTAATGCACAAATAAAATGAAGATTAATAGAATGAATACATAAGCTCACATGTGATAAAAATATGAAAATCATCTGCTTGTAAGTAATATATATTATATCATCACATAATGATCTCATTTATTCAAATTCAATTCATACTTGTCAATACAAGTTCAATAGAACTGCTAATGGAAATACTTACTATTATATTATTATTAAAGGTAGTCGTCATGGTTATGTTCAAAATAGATGTACAATATCAACAGTCACCAAAACTAGCACACCAACTGAACATCAGTTTTCCAAAAATATATTCAATAATTAATGCACATATTATTTTCAATATTGCATTTTTGTGATATTTATTTACTATTTAAATATGGTAATGGCATGAATGACAAGTCCACCCTTGAATGCATTACTGTATAACGCCCTCAGCATTTACATGTTTAGTTACTTTTGTTTTTATGATATGGTAAACTATTAATTTTCACTGCAAGTGACAATAGCTGTAACTTTGACAATTTTTTTGTTTAAATATAACCACATAGAAATGACCACATCTCATCGAAATGCGATGTGAAAACTAGTAGTTGCCTTTGTTGAAATTAATCACATGATGAGAACTATAAAAAAAATATGATACACAACACACAATATTATCTGACATGATTTTGTCCAGGGTCTCAAGTATGTTCTCATCTTTCACCGTAATCCTTGATATTCGCTTGAAAAAATTGTATTTCAATAGATGGCACCCTCTGGAGACCAGAATGCAACCCAATGGCCATTTTTTTCCACTTGCAAGTTGATATATTGTGTATATGCTATGTTATAAATGTCTACATTTCGGTTATTGGCCATTACAAATTGATACTAATGACACAGAAATTGTTTTTATTAAAAATAAAAATCATAGAAAAAAAAATCAATAGTTACAGCCTGTCACTTAAATTTCACTATTTTGATATTTATTTATGTTTACTGGGAATGAATTTGTCTTTGTTTACATTGGTTTGAGTGATTGGATTTTATTTATTTAATAAAATAGTGAAAATAAAACCCAGTGAATAATTATTATCAGAAGAACAAGATATATAAAATTATTTGCATTGAAGAATCCTAGTTGTTGCTTTATAGCCAGGTACAACACTTTCGTAAAGTGGAGCATACTCTGGATCTTGTGTAAAGATTGAGTTGAGATTGAAAAACGTTGGTCGTTTCTGTGGGTCCATTGACCAGCATTTCAACATAATATCGTAGACTTTGTGTGGACAATTTGATGGTCTTTCAAGCCGCTCACCAGCATCCAGCATTTCAACAACCTGGAGATTAAAACATAATGAAAATTACAGTTAAGCCATGAATCAGTGAAAATATATTTTTCTTTTTACTTTTTAAATTCAACTCATCAAAGAAAGCTTAGAAAGAACCCCTGTGTGCTGAGAGTAATAGAGACATATTCAAAATGAATTCAAAATTTAAGATTTGCTTTTCAAATAAAAAGCTTGGCAACTAATATTTGTCTGCTATTTGAGATGCACAACATGAAAACAAAAATAAATTAAAGTTTACATCTGTGGTTTTCAGTCTAATTTATTTCAGAGCACCTCTACCACAAGTTCAATTTAAATCTGATGTTTTGGGATACCAGAAATTGACTAATAGTAATTAGATAATCAATATGCATGTTTTTTAACATTAAACTAATTACATCTGTGGATTACCACAGAGCATCTATGAATAAAATTTCAATGAAATGTGATGATTATGCAAATTAGGCAATTAGTATGTGGGAAGTTCAATCTAAAACTAATCAGGGCTTTAGCAATGTTAACAGGCACTTATTGGGATGAAATCGTTTTTTGAGATGTAGGTAGAAAATTATTGTACATTATGTTAATGGGTGATTTTAATGCCAGAACAGGTATCATGGCTGACTATATTGTGGATAACTCGATTTCTTATCTCCCTATTGAAAACACTGTTTACAATGCAGACAATTTTCGCATGCCACGCTCGTCAAATGACAAAGTGGTAAATGCGCAAGGTGTATCTTTAATCGAGTTGTGTAAACATTTTGATGTTCACATAGCCAATGGCAGATTGGGAAATGATTCGGCTGGAAATTTTACTTGCATTACGACAAACCGGGCAAGTGTTGTCGATTACTGTATCCTGCAATCATCTCTTTTCAGTTATGTAACCGATTTTGACATACCATTGC